TTATCCGTAAACCACACACAAATTAAAATAAATAACCACTAATTGACCGCACCGTCCAGCCCGGCCGAAGAGAATAATTCCCGGCGAATTAAAAAGAAGCTCTCTGTTTGAGTACAAGTTGTGCACAGCGGTGGGGCAGCGCCTCAAACTTCAACACAAAGCAACTGCCGCGCGCGCTGCCGAGCTCAAAGAAAGCGAAGAACGCGAAGAAAGAACACAATTATTGAGGGTCTGCGTAATGTGATTGGTGGATAGGAGACCACTTTCACCCAACGCCCAGTTCAGGCCGCCCACCGCCACCTCGTTCCGAGCTGCTCGAGGTCGGACCCAGGGGCCACACACTAACAGGAATGTTCATTTTTGTACGTGCGCCATATGAACTGATCTACACGCTACACTGATAAAGCTCGCAAAAGAGTACTTCTCTATTTGAAATTTGTCGTAGGTCGTTCAGCTTAGATCGCGCTCTCTGCACACTAAATGGGAATGTACACTTTTGTTCCCATCGTATCCGTTTTGTTCAAAAAGACGAAAGTACTCACAAACTGGATTTGTAACTTGCATTTCCACAAATTTAAGCAATCAATTTTTACAAATATTGAATACTATAAAGTGTTCAACAGAAAGATTGGACACTTAAAAAGATTCATGGCCCAACCCTGATGTTGAACACTTTCAAGCGCTTTTAAACGTTCACCTTACTGACAACATTTTATAGTATTCAAGTATCAAGTCAAATACTAAAAAGTGTGGAACATGGTGTTTGGCATTTATTTAATGTGCACGCCAGTTAAACACTTCATGTGTCAGTGTAAATGTAAGTATTAGGATGGTTTTGTGCAAAAGTCTGTCCTACGTTTTGTCTCGCACAAATTTGTGCACCAAAATGCTTGATTTCGTACAAATTAATATGCACAAAGATGTTCAAATCTACGCAAAGATGTTTGTAAAAAATGATTACTTAAATTTGTACAAATGCAAGATACAAATCCAGTTAGTGTGTACTTTCGTCAGTTAGAAAAAATGGGACATAATTAAGTTCGTATGGATTCATTCATGCGATAAGAACCAAAGTGGACATTCCCATTTGTGTGAAAAGAGCGCGATCCAAGCTAAACGGCTTCGAGCTAATTTTTTATAGAGGAGTACTTCTTTGCGAGCTTAAAAATAATTTGGTTTGCATTACCAACCTGTTCTTTGTAAGCAAGTAAGCATTTTGCACTACTGTGAGGAGCGCTGTGCTTATAAGCAAGTGCTACTTGCGTTGGGCTCACCATATGGTAAGTGCCCAACAGTAGGAGTGGGCATTTCAAACAGTCATTCGAGTTCAGTTGTTAGTTCTAGCTCCGACCTGCTCGCAAGCAAACAAGATCTCATTTTTCCGATCACGGCGCACTGCTGCTTTTTAGCCGACGCTCGCTGCTCGCTCGCCTCCTAGACTTTGATCGCCTTGTCTTGAAACTTGTTAATTACTTTACGTCCCTAGACACTGCTCCCCCCCGCCTCCCTTCCACCACTGCCACCGCAACCACGACCCCCCCCCCCCCAAATCCACCCGCACAACATTCCCCTTCGCCCGTCCGTCATCTGAATACGCCCCCACACCTTGACGACGACAACGACAAAACCAAGACAGCAACGAGGTCACTATATGAAAGAGACAAAACTAAAAGTGAACCTTCTCCCAAAAGGTGCCCACTTTCATCTTCGGTGTGCAGTAAGCAAATATTTTTAATATCAAAATGTAAAAAACGTACTTATTTCCCGTGAAATAAACCAATAAAAGGCCTGGCAGTGCGTCGACTTTTCTCAGACTTTCACTGACTTTTGGGTAAGTTTTTGAACTTTTCAAATGATTGATTTAAAGAACTCATCCTGAATTTCTTCTTTGACTTCTTTCTTTAGTCGCGCACACCTAAGTGGTGCTTCGCCGTCCACACACTTATGGGATGGGACGGTTTTGTACAAAGAAAAGGCGCGATTCCATGCACCTCAATTATGTGTCAAAGCCAAGAAATGTTGTGGCAGCATCACGGTGTGATGAAAAACAAACTCACCGGGTCGCAGGAAGGCCGCAGTGGCGACCACGGCCAGCAGCAGCATTCTCATCCTGGGTGGTCGCAGCGCGGGCAGGCCTCCTCGCCGGCCTGCTCACGGGCCCGCTCGCCGGCACACCCAGACGACGCGCCTGCTCACAGGCATGCTGCACCTGTAACCATGACGCGCATAGTGGTGAGCAGGATGAGCGACAATTGGTGAGCAAAGGCTGGTTCGCAAGCAGGATGCTCGAACCACCATTTGGAGCGTAACATGGTGGGGCGTAGAGGCCGAAGGGAGTGAGAGGGCGCGACGTGGTGAGAGGGTCAGAGGAGCGGAAGGGGATGGGCTAAGGCCAGGAGGCATTGGCGCTGCAGACCAAGTTGATGTGCACATCACGCCTGAGATGTGTGCCAAACTTCCTCCCAACCCCTTTGAGGGTCTCTCAATGCCACTTCCCCCCACAATCGCCACCACGCCTCCGCTGCTGCTAGCAGTGGCAGTCGGTAAAACAAAGTGATTGTTTGTGAGCAAGCCAGTTGAGTCAGCCGAATGAATTCATACAAACTAGTCTTAACGAGAATTTTATACTGAATTCCTTCAATTTCAGACTAAGTTTCTCTACATTCAGACCATATACTCCTAACATTCAGAGTAACTCTTCTGAAAAAGTTATTTCAGACTAGATTTCATGTGAATTATGAATATTCAGTCAGAGGATTGAGTTGTGTCAGAAACTCGCATGACTGTCAAGCATGTAGATTTTGTGTGTCGGTAAAATTTACTGCTTAATTATTGTGCAATCCAAAAATATTGTAACAAAAGTCGTAATAGTAGTTATAATTTAAACGAAAAGAGGATAACAGAAGTGTGCACTATGATGTCCGCGGGGAAAAGGTGTGTTGTGTTAAAGTCAAATCAGACCGTCCGCTGCGCGAAAAACACCGGAGCGCCTGGGTCGCATGAGGCAGCTGACGCGCGTCGCTCAGTGCTGTTCAGGCTCTGAGGTAGGGTTTCTAATCGTAAGTTCGGGGTTCGACTCCAGAGATATCTGAAAACAAGGAAGAAAATAGACCGGCCACAAGGAAAAAAATTACATTCTCTTCAGTTTGTAAATATTTACACTTAGGGTTATGAATTTTTAATTCAGACTAGATGTCTAAAGTCATTTTTCAGAGTAAGAATTAGTACTAGGTAGATGTACGCCAGACCACGTCTCGCGTAACAGGCTTCGCGATATCTCACGAAACACTGTTACGCTGCGACGCGCCTGGCATACATCTACCTAGGCCTGCGGCGCTGACACCCGAGTCGTGTAGTGCAAAAGTGTACACAAAGATACGGGCCTCCGGCCCGTCAACGGCACGTCACTTTGACAAAGCATGCAGGGTTGTACATTTTTTCGCTAATTTTAAGTCAAAAATACCCTCTAGCGCCTCAACGGTTTGAACTAGAGCAAAACGGAGAAAATTTTCGCCCAAAGGGCTCTACTTTGATGAGTTACCCCTTAGGAGACTGTAAAAAAAAATATTTTTAAAAAACTTTATTTTGGGGACCTGTGGTTTTTGATTTTTTAAAAATCCAATTTTTGAGCTAGAATGCTCTTCTTCGAACTCGATCTGTCTTTTTATGATACAAAACGACCCTGAAAATCCCAGGTCGCTAGCTCAATTCGTTCTCGAGTTATCGTGATGACAGACAGACGGACAGACAGACAGACAGACAGACGCGAAACTTTTTGATCATCACTGGAGTAATAGGCTTCGCTAATCGCTCAGCCAATGAATTTTCCGACTTAAGTATGTAATTTTGCTTCACACAAAATTGTCTGAATTTTCAGAACACATTGAGAAGAATTTACTCACTTCTCATTTACATAAGAGCGACAAGTAAATTATAGAAATCGTTTTGTTAATTTTCGGAAAATTTAAAAAAAAAATGCGACACGTCAAATCTATTGAAAGCCACAGAATTTCTCCCCCTGCGTTTCACCAGTGAAAAGTCGACGAGAGTCAGCTGTCAGCCATACAGCAGCCAGAGTTAAAAAGTTTACCAGCGGTCCGCGTCAGAGTCCGTTTCTCCGGAAGCTCATCGGTCCCATGAGCCTGACAAGTCGACTTCTTAAAAACCGATAACTGCCGAGTGGTGTTGCGCATCGGGCGTGTCGTGGAGTAGAATGGCAGTAGGGTGGGGGCATTGGCCAGCTGTCCCGCTCCGACCGTTGCGGCTGGCACTGGTGGTCCACATTCGGACTCCAAAGTCTCTCCGATCTCCAGTATCGCTTTTTAAATCCACGCACACATAGGGATAGGGTCGTGGGGGAGGGGAGAGGGATAAAGAATCTCCTGGTCACAGCCCTGGGCCAGTGTTTACTCTCAGAACTGTACCAATTTTTCGTCTGTTGAAACGTTAGAATTCTCCACAGGAGGAAGTACTGATCAATTACTCTGCATAGTTTAATTAATTATTAATGGAGATAAGAGAAACTGTTTGTCACTATTCCTGCGACATAAAAGCTTAACTGCTGCCCCGACAGTGTACTTAGAACACACAACGAAAGAGTCGACATACAAGCACACACACACAAGTAAGTACACAAAGTAGTGTTTTGCTTTACCTTAGGTAAGTTGCTACACGAATATCGCGCCCGGACCATATAAACAATAAAATGTTCGTGAAACAACTTCTTTGTTTCCTTTGGAAAAACCGTAAATTGTAAATTGATATTTGCGACACATGTTGTGTTTTGCCAAACTTGTTTCTCAAACAACTTTTGTTGAAGTTTAAAGTGGGCTTCGTAGTTTGCGCGCTTAAAGGGACCATTGGCGAAAGCTTTACGCAGCCACACTCTCAAACCTCTACTGATTTATATCTCAGATATCTACGTTTTTATGCAGGAATTACTGACTTATTTGGTACTTATTGTGTATATTTTTTCAGGTAAATTACTGACTAGAATGCTCATCTTCGAACTAAATCTGTATTTTTGTGATACAGAACGACCCTGTTATTCCCAGATCGCTATCTCAATTCTTTCTCGAGTTATCGTACATACATACAAACAGACAAACAAACAAACAAACAAACAAACAAACAAACAAACAGAATGAAACTTTTTCGGTCAGTGGAGTGATGGCTTCGCACTCTCATTTCCTTACGGACTCGCTTACGGATAATTTTGTGCAACCGTAATATGGATCACATTTTATCTGTAATACGGATGAAAACAACCGTAATGTGGACAATTTTATCCGTATTATCAACACAACTTGGTTCGTAAGTTACGGAGAAAAAATATTCATTTCTCCATAAGTGACGAACCTAGCATTGTTGATAATACGGATGAAATCATCCATATTACGGACCATTTCATCCGTATTACAGGTAAATTTGATCCATATTACGCTTGCACAAAATTATCCGTAAGCGAGTCCGTAAGGAAATGAGAGTGCGCTAATCGCTCAGCCAATAACAGAAGACACTGTCAGTAGCGTAAAAAGAAATTATTTCGTATTAGTGAAGAAAAATTTGACAGTAGCTTAAAAAAGTTTCATAGCTAAACCTCATGTTGAACACTTTTAAGTATTCAAATTTAGTGTTTAACACTTCATATTCAAATATTCACTCGAACACTTAAAAGTGTGCAACATGGTGTTAAGCACTTGCAAGTGCACGCCAGTTGAACACTTTAATTATCAGCGCGGTAAATAGGCACCATATTTCCTGGTGGGGCAAATTATCAATAGGTACATACCATCACCCCTGGCAATCAAACTTAGACAAACCCGGTGCCGCACATGGGCTGCTTTGGAAGAAGCCGCATCCGCTATGCTCCTCTGCTGCTTTGCGTTGGCCGTAATGAGCGGAGATTTTACTGGCACTGGTTCAAGTTCAAGTCAACACTGCCAGCCCCAGTGCCAGCACGGTGGCTCCCACCCCCACTCAAGTGCATCTGCATATGGTGCGCGGGCGCGGGCAAGCACTCGCAAAAACAACTAAGGGGCCCGTCCTCAAAATACTGTTGCTTTTTCTTTTTCTTCTATGGTTTTCTTTTCTTTTTTGCAGTTTAAACTGAATAACTTTTAGTTTTTCAGTTTAAACTGTCTAACTTTTAGTTTTTCAGTTTAAACTGTGTAACTTTTAGTTTTTCAGTTTAAACTGTATAACTTTTAGTTTTTCAGTTTAAACTGTGTAACTTTATAGTTTCGCAGTTTAAAGAGTATGCCCTGACTCTCCGACACGATATTCTCCGACAGCTGTTGTTGCAACAGAAAATCGATTGGCACCTGGGGCGGGGTCGAAATGGCAGCGGCTATTCCTGATATTGTAGATGACAACAGACTTCTAGCTTCTAGGCGGGCTGGACGCGGGTGCGCACGTCGCACATGGTCAAGCATAGTGACAAAATAACCGAATTGAGCCGATGAATCGATTGAGACAACTGTGGACACGATAGGACGCCGTTTAGTCTTTGTTTGTAGATGATTTGGCACTTCTTGGCCTCGAATACGAAGGAGGAGGCCGACATCCGAGCTCAGCCCTCGGCTTGGCTCGGGACTCGGCTCGACGCAGCGCTATCGCGTTGCGCCTGGCCGGAGGGAGCGCCAAACGCGGCAAAAATAGTCCCTGTTGTTGCAATAGCGTCTACTTATTGAAATAACTTACTTGCGCTGTTATTGTTGCCACAACTACTTGCGTTACGAGCTTATAGAGTTACTAAAATAAATCAAGAAATAAATAAATAAATAAACAAAAGCGTCGGAGAGTCGGAACGAGCCGTTTACCGTTCTTGCGATAACTCACTTATATTATTACAACAACAAGTTATTATAATACGCTGTCGGAGAATCAGGGTGCGCCCAGTTTAAACGGTAAAACTATTAGTTTTACATTTTAACAGTAATCCCGTTATACAGTTAGATTCGATCGGTTGTCGGTTTTAGCGACTTTAACACGTGGAGTCCCACGTGCCCACACGTATGGTCACAATAACCCGTGTTTGATAACCGCCCCCCCCCCCTCTCCCTCCTCGGGACTCAACGTGTTAACACACTCCGCATATTGACCTCACACGAGCCTCTGGTATAAACACGTTGTCTATTTGAAAAGAGACAGGAATGGGGTGGCTGAGTGTTTCCGAATATCGCACACTTGTAGGTAGGTGAATCATTA